AAAATTAATTTTAAGCCGTTAGCAACAAATGCAGAAGCGGCACTGGCTATGTTTGTTGCACAGACTTGAAGCTGCATAGGACCAAGTGCACGAATATAATTAAAAACGTGCTAGCAGTCCACTTTAATGAGGACCTAAGAAATGACATTGGAGACGAAAAATACAGCCTGCTTGTTGATGAATCGACTGATATAAGCACCACTAAAGTTCTCGGTAAGATGCAATTCGATATTTATATAATTAAACCAAATTAATTTATTTAAATATTTGTAGGTGTTGCTATAATTTACTACAGCGCAAAGCAATTGGACATCACTTTGACATTGTCCTTAATTTCAATTGAAGGTGCAGACGCGCAAAGCCTTACAAATAGCCTACTGGAAAAATTAAAAATTCTCCAACTTCCCATTGACAATTTAATTGGAATTGGCACTGATAATGTCAATGCAATGGTGGGTAATAAGAAAAGTTTGTTTGTAGAATTGAAGATGTCGGTGCCGTCGTTAGTATTGATTAAGTATGTATGCCATTCCGTGCAATTGGCCGTAAGTGCTGCTTGTAATAGCCATATGATACTCTAATGCAGTTTTCATTAATTAGCTACTTCATTAGAACCTTGAAAGAGTCCACTATATGTGTCATTTTGCTTGGATTATTTTGGTAATACGGCTACGGTCACACCGACCGTAAAAGGTACACAAAAGAACGGCCGCCATCCGCGGCGTATTACTATGAATTTCTGAATTCCTCGTCGAAGTATTATTGCATAAATAAATGCAGAATCCTTTAAATTTATGTTTTTAACCTATGATGCTTAAAATTTTTTTTTTAATTATTACCAAACAAAAAAATTTTTATTAATTTTACACCGCAAGAACCTTGCCATCGCAATTTTCTAATATTTTTTTCAGTTCAAAAAACCAGCGAAATTATATAGAAATAAAATTCTCATTGTGAGACCATACTGTCAATGAGCTGGCTAATACATTTTTCAATTACAATTTTCTTCATTAAACCCGTATTTGGTTATCGAGTATCTAGTATATTTTATGTAGATCTATCGATTATCGCGGCAATGGAGTAGCTAATGCATTATTCTAATGCATTAGAGCGCCATATAGTCGTCTTGCTCGCACTTGTGTAAAACGCTATAGCGCTGTCAAATCTTTAATAAAGTCTCTAATAGCCATATGACACAGGCGCATTAAATTAGAGACTTCATTAAGGGGTTATATACAGTTGTGATGTTAAAAAAAATCGACTTTTTTTTATTGCATATTCTTCAACTATATACTATTGAGAATACTCTCACAAAAATTCATAAAGATCGGAGCTTTAGAACCGAAGTTGTAGCTATTTATAGCGCACGACCTGCACGTCGGCCGGAACAAACTTGAAACTTTAAACGCGATTATCTCAGAATCGTTTTTTTTTTTCGAAGTTACCTTTGCGGTGGACACGATAACTAAAAAACTATTAATCCGATCAACACCAAATTTTGACCACTTATTTTTTATAACAATAGCTAGTCCTCTAACGAAGAATTTTTTATTTTTTTTTTTAACTTTTTTTTTAGAGCATAAAAATCAAAAATCTTATACCTTGAAAAAGTAAATTTTTTGTTAAAACCGTCGCCATTTTTTTTTTAATCAAAATTTTTACAAATCCATGGTCTAGAGGACTAGGCAATACAATATACTAGCGAAATTTTTTTGAATTGTTGATTTCGGATGAACCGTTCTCGGGATATGATGTCCACCGCAAGTCACCATCGAAAAAAAGACGATTTTGGAATTCGGCCATAACATATTTAATATTTAATATTTTTTTATGAAAAAATTTTATAAAGTACCTAGAAACATGTACTAAACAACGTCGGCAAAACATTTTTGATAAATATTTTTTATGATGTCAAAAAAAAATCGACAAAATTGCATTTTTTTACGCGGTACAACTGTATATAACCACTAACCATACAACATATAGACTGGTCATTTCATACAACGAAAATGGACACAAAAATGCATGCGGTCCCATGTTTACTGTTTGCTGTTAGGGACAGACCGTCTGTTAGATTTTAGCTGTTAGCGACCCGTCCCATTTTAGCTGTCAGCTGTTAGCGTCAGGCCTTTACATGTATGCGTGTTCATGCATTCACGTACACGGGTGCATGTGTGCGGCCATTTCGTTTCGGGCCAGCAAGAATATTTGGTCTTTTGCTACTTTTCGCGCTAGGTACCCTAACAATATGGGCATATTCGCTATTGGGTTAATGATAAAAATAATAATGTTATATGTTATAATACATTTCTTAATGTTTCAGCATACATTTCATATTTGTTTACAATTCAAATCAGTGGCAGCAGTGAAATGTGTTGCATATATGCATATACATATGTATTCGAATGAATAACAATCCATCTACTGAGATAGGAACAGGGCATATTGCAGTTGGTTGGAAGTTAAATAAAAAAAAAATACTTTCTCAAATTGACAAAATGAATTTAACTAGAAACGAAAAAACATTGGCGAAAATGCTTCCTAAAGAAAAAATATAACAAATATGAGGTGGAATGATTCCGAAAAGTTTTTCGCTCAGAGTATTTATCTATTTATTATCAGGCCTGTTCTAGTTTCAATTCGGAAGTGAAGTGGATAACATTTTCCGATTTCCCTTCAACATAAGCTAATTTCCTTTGTTGATTTAGGGACTTTTTGTTAAATTTCCCCTTGGTCCTTTTGCTCTATTTTGCCCGAGTTTTGTCAATAGGAGGCTTATTAGATTTTGGCCCGCTTTAGCGTCCAACCAAAGTAGGTTAATGGGATTCTAGCTTATTACATAATATTAAAGGTACAAGAATTCTTGACCGTAAAATGTTAATTTGAAATGTTTGGAATTTCAATCATCTGTTTTCGGCACAGTACTGGTAATGTTAGTTAAGAAGTATTGGGAAAACTCGTGCGGATATCAGCGGTTTTGCTTGTCCCAATTCAAAGATTTTCATGTTACAATTTTACAAAAATGTTTTTGCACATATTGGCGACTAACCAAATAAGGAGACGACAGTTATTAAGCATTTAGCGCAAAAATCAACACTTGAGAAACAATTCTACGATTTTGGACTTGCTAGATAGACAGTGAGTCACCATTAATTGCAATTGTAAAAAACTGAAAGCTCAAGTTGTAAGACTTGCAGATTTGTAGAATCCTACCGGGTAAACAAGGAACTGTTCTTTGTTCTTATCGAACAAATTGGACCTTACCTTGGGAATCCCCTAGTTTCTCATGTCACACAGGTTAATGCAGTTCATCCTTGCAACCGGGTTTTACCCATTGGGGGTGGCAAAGGACCATGATGTCACCATAGGAAGAAGCACATTCTCTAAAATACTACATGGAGTGATAGGATCATTGGAAAACTTGTGCTCTGGAAACATATCCACCCAGCAAACGTCAGTTCAGATTAATGAATCTAAGAATTACTTCTTGGAAGAGTTTTCTCTTCCTAATATAATTGCATGCGTAGATGGCACGCATGTTCAAATTGTAAAGCCAGTTCAAGAACCATCATTGTATTTAAATCGAAAAGGATACTTTAGCATTAATGCAATTATGGTAAGTCTGTACTATTATTACCTATTATTTAAATAAAATAGCAGTAATAATATGTAGATTCTCGCAATTGATGCTACACATCCCGGAGCAAGCCATGATTCTGCCATTTGTAACAACAGCAATACGAGAGAATTTTTCTATAGGTCGAGTCATTCGTTTGTACTAGCAGATTCCGGATATGCGTTAGAACCTTTTGTTTTGACTTCTTACCGTAGTCCACAAAATGAAAGTATGCAAACTCTCTGTAACGTAAAGCATGCAGAAGCTAGAAACATTGCAGAGAGGACTATTGGCCTACTAAAAAGTAGATTTAGATGTCTTCAAGGCACTTTGCCTTACGATCCAAAATTTATGTGCAAAATGATCAATTTGTTGCAATGCAGAAATGCCTGATATGGATCAGGAGTATTAGAAAATTAGAAAATGCAACTGAAGTTGGAGACAAAGTTGCACGAAGCTTGTTTAATCGTATTAATTATATAAACTAATTTTTGTTGTTTATTAAACTTAATTTTTATTGTCTCACTTTATTGCATTAAGGACCACATCTATTACTATTATTTCTTATTGAAACTTAAATATTTCTTATTATAATGGCTTTTAATGGCTTCCAATTTTTTTCCTTTCGATGATTAATATAGCCGAATTATGTTCTGCCATGATTTGATTCTGGGCTCGCATCGTCGCATTCAACTCGTCCAGGGAACAAGCCTCAGAGATCGGCAATTTTGGTTTCGATATCAGATAGGGTCACTGGGTTAAATGGAAATGAGCCAGCTTATTTTTGATAGGGAGGTCTTCCAGTCAGCCCAAGCCTTTAAGGTTAAATGATTGTGAGTTTCAATGTGAACTTCTCAAAAAACTGAAAAAAATCCTACCATATTCTATCCGCCTACGTCTTTTATTGGATGACCTCCAGCGTTCAGATCATTTTCCAGTTCCACCCATTTGGCATCCACCGCCACTCGGTCACCCTTTGTGTACCCTCTGGCATTATCTTCATTTCTTTCTATGAATAGGATGAAAATCTCATCCTGGTTTTTAATTTTTATGCTTTCTCCTAATAGAAATTGTTAATTAAATAAACTTTTGAGCGTCATTTTTACTTATAGTCTATTTACACCAGGCTGCGTTATTGCGTTAACTCAGTCGTAGTTTTTTTTACTAGTAGTTTTTAGTGGTGGGAAAAATTTGCGTCCAATTTGCGTCCAAGTTGCGTTCATATCTATAATAACAGATTTGTTCGATTTTCATATCGATTACAACACATTTGTTCGATATTCCACTCGATATTCGGATTATCGAAAAAGTTCCACCACCAAATCGAAAAAAAACTAAAAAAAAGTTACGATTCAAATTCAAATAATTCAATCTGAAATCAAAAATGTCCGAGAACAGATTTGTGTGGAGCAGTGCTTCCCTTGGGGCACTTCTGGAGGAGTGGCAGGAAAATGTGACTGGATTCCGTGGAGTTCGCAAGAACTCCCACATTTATAAAGAAATAGCAGAGAACCACAAAGAGTATGGACCAACCGCTAAAGAAATAAAAAATAAAATTCATAACATGACGAAAAAATACAGGTAAGAAAAAATATACCGCACTTTTATTGCAATATAAACCGTAATTAAATATTCAGAAGCGAGCTGACCAAGATGGGGTCATCGGGAGGAAGTCCCTCTCGATGGGAACATTTCCAAGCGGTGCAATATATATTGCAGGGAGAAAAAAAGATTGAGAGGTCTCCGATAGAGAGCACAGGTAATAAGATAATACCAAAATTCGCATTCATAATTTTTAATGCATTATTTTAAAGATTTTTCGACAATGACGGACGTTTTCAGCGATGAAAGCCAGATTCCAGCGCCATCGACTTGCTCTCGAAAGAGACGTTCCGACCAACTTAATGAGCTGTTAGAAGTGGAAAAGAAAAAACTGGCCGTCATGGAGAGGATGGTGGAGGACTCCAACAAATTTCAAGATGGCATACTAGCTATTTTTGAAAACAGAAAAAACAACACAACAAATAATTAAAAAATAAATACAAATTTTAAAATTAACAAACAAATTAATTAGTTTTTATTCAGTGAGAGAGTTTTCAGCTAAAAAATGGAGGCCCAACGCTCTCCTAATGCGTTCAGCACTTTCGTTTGTATTTCCTATCCAAGTATCTTGATCAGGTTGTTCCCTTTGCTGACCAGACTCCAATTGTCTTTGCCAGGTGTCAGGAACCACGCAGTTGTTGGTTATGCACATATTGTGCAGAACACAGCAGCAAGCTATTATCGGCGCTGTGTTTTTAATGTGGTTGTCCAAACCTTTTCCAATTCGTCGGAATCTTGCCTTAAGGTGCCCAAACGCATTCTCCACCACGCGCCTGACCTTGGACAGGTGATAGTTAAATGCTTTCTTTTCAGGAGCTGTATCAACCGAAAATGGATACGGTTTCATCACATTTTTGGAAAACCTAAATGCAGAGTCTCCTAAAATTAATATCGGTACTTGGACTCCATTAATACATTTAGCATTATCTTGTAAAATCCTTGATTCTACCAATTTCCGTTTTAAACTGGAACTCTCGAATATTTTCGAATCATGGCTTCGACCGCAGTTCCCCACACTTACATACGTGAATCTGTAACTATTTATGATGTTAATGCAGGAATTTCATTCTGCACAAAGGGAAAATAACTACCGAGCATCTACCAAAGCAAATAGCACTGTTGAGTACCAACCCTTGTAGTTTCTGTAGTCCACTGCATCCCCAGCTCTCGGCCGCACCTCGATATGACACCCATCTAGTTATAAATAAATAAATTAAATTATGAACGTATTTGTATTATTAAAGACTTCCCCATTGCTCCAAAACATTGTGGAAACCCAATGTCTTCAAAACCTTTAACGTTTTCCGTAACTTTTTCTTGGGTGAGAAAATCTGGTGGTAAATACTCTCCAGCAAATGTTTTTATAACCTCTCTGCAAAACTGCAATAAGGTCTGGCACACTATTGCTCTGGAGACGCCAAAAAGACTGGCTATAGTGCGGTATTCCGCAGAGGAACCCAAGGCGTATAATGCAATCGCAATTCGTTTCTCCAAAGGAATAGCCGGAAATTTGTATCTTGCTTGCAATGATTTGGAAGCCCTTGAACCAGCATGTTGAAAGTGCTTTTATTCACACGGAAACTTTCTTTAAAAAATTCGTCTGAATTTTTGGCAACATCCTTCTCCCAAAATGAGCCGAATCGTGGCTGTTTTAATTAGATACAATTATTAAATAATAGTGTTGTTTTTTAATGAGTTCGCTGATTGTCTTACAAGAGTCCAAACGCTGCGATAAGGACCTAACTTCTGGAGCTCCTCAAAAGTGGCTTGCGACATCCCCGCCAAATCTATTACCTTTATTGCGGCAACTTTATGTTGTTCTACAGCTGATATAATAATGCTTTCGTCTTCCATTTTTGGATTTTTTTTTGTTCCCAATAATTTCAAACAAGCTGTTAAAACCTATCGCAATAACGCAACTTTTGTAGTATAAACTAGCGTCCTGCGTTTATGCGTTAATTTCGATTTTGATAGGTAACTCAGATCGGTGTAAATATAGGTACTATTACATTGTTGAAATTTAATTGCGTGTGCAAGTCTGCTTGTTCTTAGGCAATGTTGTGAAATTTTGTACAGGTAGTGTTGTAAAAAGGAGCTCATAAAAGAGTTGCAGAAAGCTTGCAAAGGAAAAAAATACCCTTCACGTCACGCACAATTTGTACAATAATTTTAGAGATATTTGGAACAAAAACTATTTTTAAGCATAAGTTAATAACAGTACTTACACTGACGAGCAAAACTGTAACACGAGTTCAATACTTGAACTTCAAAGGTCTGTTTCTTCTGTTCTAATCTATGGATTCTAAAAATTCTAGTGTTGTTTTGTTGGTATGTGTATACACTACGAAGTCGTTCGATAAAGGGAGAAACATATGCTGGAGCCAACTGTAAAAAAAGTCAAATGTTACAGTTTTGCACCCAGGTTATTTTCGATTAAATATTTTTATTAATAATTTTTTAATAATGAGTCCACAGCCCCTTCGACTTTTTTAATTCTCCTATGCGATTTGGCATACTCTGGGTGTAGCGTAGCACAAATTCGGGGGGAATAGCGTACCAGACGTCCTTTGTCCTCTCCCACAGCTCCATCATTCCATTTGGAGGAACTGCATATTTTGCCAATTGCGATTTCACATGACTCCATAAGTTTTCTATTGGATTCATATCTGGAGATTGTGGTGGACACTTCATACACTGACATTTTTGTCTCGAAATCCAATTTCCAAATGGAAATCCACTGTCATATGGCTAACGCCGAATTTATCAGCCGTATTTCGAACAGATTCACCTGCTAACAGCAAATCAATAATTTTCTTTTTTTTCAGACTGTCCATAATAATTTCTTTTCAAATGTGACTTTAAAGCATCAAAGCTTAGTGAAACATATGTAAACAAATTAATTTCAACGGTAAAAGAAGCTTATAAACTAAAATATAAAGCTTTGGCACAATGGGTGCAAAACTGTAACATTTGACTTTTTTTACAGTTAGCTCCAGCATATGTTTCTCCCTTTATCGAACGACTTCGTAGTGTATACACATACCAACAAAACAAGACTAGAATTTTTAGAATCCATAGATTAGAACAGAAGATGCAGACCTTTGAAGTTCAAGCATTGAACTCGTGTTACAGTTTTGCTCGTCAGTGTATAATAATAGACCTATTAGTATCACGATTGTTTAAAATTAACATCAAACATATTCCGCGGCTTTTTTTTACGCTGACAACCCCCTCAAATGGTCCCTCTCAAATTCGACACAGCGGCGCCGGATTTGCAATAATGTTGAAGGTTAGAATCGAACCGATTTTAAGGTGCACCCACAAAATAATTATTTATAAATCAAGTATGTTAGTATTAGCTAGTTCAAATATGCAATAAGGTTCCTATAACCTTAAGGAATAAAATACAATTAACATTTGTAATTTACATAATCGTATTGAATTTTAAAAAATTTCATTTCTGATTTTGCGGATTTGAATCCGTTTTGCCTGCAAATTAACAGAGACTTAACAGAGGGAAATACGAATCCCTAAGAATTTTCCGGAAGTGGAAACTAGAACAGGCCTCATACATACATATATATTTTTAAGGGACTCTTTGGAATTAAATCTTCCTAGTCACTCATCATTACGAAAGTGGAATAGCATAAAAAAATTACAGCCGGGAGACAACGAGTGTCTGTACTCGCCTCTTAAAGATACTAATAAGGAAATGACTGAATCTGAAAAAGAATGCATACTAACTTGTGATGAATGATGATGCAATAAAAAAAATGTAACATACAATTTCTCTGTTGACGTTATTGATGGGTAAGGCATTTACTTGAACGCTCAAATAAAATTGGAAGCGACATTTGCGTTTTTGTTATATATATATATATATATATATATATTTTAGCAGACTCGACCCGCTTTGCTGGGCCCGAACTAATTATAGTTGACCCGGCACACACTGTTTTGTCATGTATATTATTTGTAGGAAACAATAAGGAAACAATGTGCATATTACAGAGTTGTCAGTAAAAAAATATTAAACCTTGAACAGAATATTTATTATTTTAAAGTATAAATTATTTCAAATTCCATTTAATTTAGCACTAATCGGATATTCATTCTGTCCTTGCCAAAATATCAATGGATATTGTAGTGCATCATATGAACGGTGAAGATCCGAATTCGTACTGATAGTATTGTCCCGCCGTGTAATTTTTATAGATCTTTTGTCAACTGGATCATAACAGCAACCTCAACAACAGTTGGAGCGTTGAATCTCCCAGCATATTCACCTAATGGTACTTTATCGGCTTTTATGACTATTTGATAGTTGTCATTTTGCATTCGTGGCGAAACTCTTTTTATTAATTGAATTAGTTGATTCTGATATTAAAAAACAATGTTCTAGTAACATCACTATCCATGCCCATAAAATAAATTTGAAGAAATTTCGGATTATCATCAGGCATTGGCATCAATGATCCAATTTTGTGGTACACCTGGCCATGTATTTTGTATGTAGTTTCAGAATTATGTCCATCGGATGCAAGATCACAAATTTTAGTGGCCCCAAATGACGTCATTTGGAAGCAAGAATTAAATTTGCGTATTTTACGCAAAAATAATTTTGAGTCATTTGAATTTCCAGCAAGAAGGGATAATAAAGGTTCTGGCGGAGCAGGTAGAGGTTGCAGCACGACTTTTCCTGCTGCGCAGCACATACCGGCAGTTTCATTCCGAAATTTAAACGCCTGACAATATTGACATACTTTGTCCATTCCACCGATAGCAATTTTTGAACGAATGATGTACGAACTAATGAGCGACTGTTCCGCTGCCTTTGTCGTTCTTGTGCTCGTACTATATCTATGTTTCGATCTCGAGCCGCCCTGATTCTCGTAATATTCTGCTGCAGACGTTCGCTACGCTGTTCCTGGGATTCTTGTACACGACCTTCTGCTGTCCTAATTCTTTGAGCTCTATTTCTTGTATTGACTTGTTCTGGAAACTGATGAGCTCTTTCGAAACGTCTGCGTCGTGCCACTCTGCTGCTTACGTTGTTGAGATTCGATCTTTTCGGTGGCATTTTACTGAAAATAATATCGTACCTTCTTAATGTATTGAAAATGAGAATTTAGAGACTCACCACTTATAAACGCAAAACAATAATTATGAATGATAAATGACAATAATAGAAAAGACAATCTGACGAAATGCGATTTATTGAAATAATTTCGTAAAGAATATGTAATACGTGAAGAACCACTCGACCAATTTTGTGCAAATTCATCAACAAAATAGCCCGAGCAAAGCATAAAGATTTGGTTAAATAAGCACACTAAATTTCATGAGAATCGGTAAAGCCGTTTCGGCGGAGTGCATAAAAAAAGAAGATTCCTCCTTGTCCTGCCTAAACTGCCATGATGAAAAAGATCTAAGCTATCCTATCTCTCAAGTTGAACCAAACTGCATATTGCCTGCAAATTTGATAGAAATCTGTTAAGCGGTTTAGGAGTCTATAGCGAACAAACATAGTGACAGGAGATTTTTATATATTAAGATATATGTATATATATATTAATTAATTATATTAAACTATTTTGTGCTTGAAAAGACTTATTTATAAGAATATTAACATTGCTGAAAATATTGGGTTCAAAGTAAGAGGCGTCGTGTACGATTAAAGAGGCAAAAATAGAAAATGTACCTCATCACTTGATGTCACTAATAAAAAGCCTTAAAGTAAAGTATCTTCAATAATAAAAAATATTATATGTTTTATGGCATTCCGCATCTTTCCAAATCTTAAAGAAATAATTTACTAAAAGCCAATCTTGAAAACCCCTGACGGACTTGTTGATTTTGATGTGATACGAGAGGTATAGGAATTAAAACAGGAATCAATAACGAGAATTACTAAATTATGCGGGTATGTTTGGCAACCCAGACACTCTGTCAGACTGGTGCAGCGGCAATTAAGGCTTGCAGCCAAAACAAGCAACTCCATCGAAATAGTTTCAAAGTGGCAGTCCTGCTACTGCTGCATTTGTCCAAAGAGTTAATGAGTACTTTGATTGCTTAAATAGGAGAGTTTTAACTGACAAAAACGCCTTGAAATGAGCACTTCAAATTGATAATGTTGTTTGAAATAAACTGAAGGAAATGCAGCAATACCTAACGAACGTGAAACTAATGAAGGTATGTTTGGACTCGTCATAGATCTATTTAAGGACCACACGGATCACTTTGTCTATTCAACTAGTCGAGTTAACCAGGATCCGCTTGAAAATATATTTGCGTGCGTTCGTGAAAAAGGTGGTAACTGTAGAAACCCTTCAGTTAATGAATTTCTCTTATTATTATTATTATTTATTTGAAGATTTCTTCCTAACGCTACAAGTACAAGATACTTATAAGTTAATGCGCTAGTCACACAGGACAAGTTCCTTATCAGATCACATCAATATGTTATACAATTTTTAGTTATTCTTATACTAATATTAAAAACTACGGTCGCTTTGTTTTATTTTATGTCACATTTTGTTCTTGAAAGTGTGCAATAAGTTTTGCCTTAAACTGCGCGGCACTGCTAATATTTCTTAGATAGCTTGGTAATTGGTTCCATAATCTTATAGCATAGATAAAGTACTGTCGTTCAGAAAGCAGGGAACTGTGCCTTATTTGTATAATAATATTTGACCTTCGTGAAGTGGAGAATCTAAGTGTTTCATACAAATAAATTGGTAATTTGGAAAAAATTATTTTTTGTAAGTAAACTAGCACTCTCATTTTTATCCAATCTGCCAAGTGGAGTTCAAATATATTGTATGATAGTCTAGTTACGTGATCAAATCGTCGCAAATTAAATACGAATCTTGTAATGCTATTGAAGGCCATTTTAAGTTTGTGCTGACTGTTTGAGTCGCAATTAGCAAATAATTCGATCCCATAGAATAATGTTGGGATCAGGCAAGCTTTCGCAAGCAACATTCTTACATTTAGGGGTAGAAAGTTTCTAACCAAATAAAGCGATCTTAGCAATCCATACGTTTTCCCAACCGCGGTGTTAATGTGATCACTCCAGTTTAGCGTATTATTAAAAATAAAACCCAAATTGGTCGCTCTTTCTACGTATTCAATAGGGCTGTCATTGAAAAGTAAGGGCCCAATGTTAAGACTGAGTTTCTTTTTATAAATAATTATGCACTTGGATTTTGACGGATTCAGTCCTAGTCCGTTTTCTTTTGCCCAGTTGCTTATTTTGACCAGTTCATTATTACATATGTCTACACACTCATTTATTCTATGTAGGGGACGGCTCACATACATTTGGACGTCATCTGCATACATATGGACATCACAACTTGACAACATGGAGGGAAGATCATTTACATAAAGGGTGAACAAAAGCGGACCAAGTACAGAACCTTGCGGCACACCGCGTTTTGTAAACGCAAAAGAAGGCGACACATTTGACACTACGACAGATTGACGACGGTTTTGTAAATATGATGTCATTAGTTTGGCAGCAGTTTTTGAGAAGTTGAACTGATTTACTAATTTTGCACATAGGACATTATGATTAACGGTGTCAAAGGCTTTACAATAGTCAAGTAGTACAAGAAGCGTCACATTGGAGTTGTCAGCATATTCTCGTATATCATTTGCTATTTTTAAAATTGCCGAGGTGCAGCTGCGGTGTTTCCTAAATCCTGATTGGTTATTATTCAGTAAAGCGTTATCATGGATGAACGAGTTAATTTGAGATGCCATTATATTCTCAAAGGCCTTTGATAGGTACGGGAGAATAGAAATGGGCCTATATTCTTTGTTTGCCTTTGGAACAGGGATAATTTTCGCGATTTTCCAACGGTCTGGAAACGTGGAAGTTGTAAAGGCCGTGTTGAATATATATGTTATGTATATTAGGATTTTTGGTAACAATACTTTTATAAATTTAGGATTCATGTCGTCAAGTCCAACTGCGTCTGATTTGATTTTAAGAATATTGACGAGCACTTCACACTGATTGACACAAACAAATCTAAATCTACTATCACAGAGGTTTCGAGGTACTGATCTCAGGTACATATTGTTTTCGCAGATTTCAGGTACATTGCATTTCGACAGACTTATGTTTAATTCCTCTATGTCAACAACCAGTTCCGGCGCTGCTGGTTTCCTGCCTATTCCTAATGACTTTATTTCTTTCCAAGTGCGTGAGGTGGATGCTGTTGTTTGGAATCTACTGCTGTAAAAGTTAGTCTTTGCAGAGTCAATTAGTTTGGTCACCGTCTTTCTCAGTAATTTAAATCGTCCATAATGTTCTGGCGTCCTATACCTTTTCCACTTTTGGTATGCGTCATTTCGGGATTTTATTGCTAGCTTAATGTCATTATTTAACCAAGATTTGACGGAATGTTTAATCACTTTTGTTTTGACCGGAACAAAGTTTTCGTATAAATAGCTGATGTTGTTTTGAAACTGTACAAGTTGCTGGTCTACTGTTGGAGATACGAAAATATTATTCCAGTTGCACTTATCAAATTCAGTCATAAGCAAGCCATAGTCAAGGTTCTTAAAGTCTCTAAATACTATCGATTCGTCATTGTATTGGAGGTCAAAGTTGTAGGTCAAATATATAAGGTCATGTTTTGAGAACGAAGGCACGATGAGTTGGTCAAACAGATATACTTTTTTAACGTCAGAAACAAAGAAGACATCTGACAAAGAGCTGCAAGTTCTGCTGAAATGTGTTGGAAATACAGAGTTTATCAAGTGCATGCCTATAAATTCAAATTCATTTTTAAGATGCGTTTCCCTCAGCATGTTGCTATTCAGATCTCCAGCTACTATAATGTCTGCATAATTAAGCGATATATCTCCTAGCAAACTAATTATTTCATTATAAGTTATATCACATCGTGGGCGGTAAATGCATCCAATAAGGATTTTACTTGATGCAAATTTATTGCTTATCTCTAGGAAAATATACTCTATCTGACTATTATCCGGATGCTTACATACGAACTTTGTCTTTAATTTTTTAGACACAAAAATTGCTATATAAAATTTTAAGGCCCGATCTCTGCTTTGCAAGTATGCGCAGCAAGGTATGGCTATGGGATACATCTACACTGCCTTCCATTTCAAGTATATAAGAAAAATTACCTGTTGCACAGATATTATGCATAAATTAAGGCATTTGAAACATACTGAAAAGGACATAAAGAAAACATAGCGACCTACATTAATTTTAAATCTAATAAATATTATAGTTATGTGTAAACATAGGA